GTGCAATCATAGGCACAAGCAGGACGTTGTTTAATTATAAGTAATTTCACTTCGCAGTGGAATGGAATTAACTATCTCAGCCAGACAACGTTTGTAGACATGTTTTTTGCAGGGTTTGTTCTTGGCGGTGCACTGTGATCCACCTCATGGAGAATTATAATTACGGTATTACTTCAAAGACATGTACTCTATTATGCTATTTCAACTTTGTACCACTTAGCAAAGATAAGACATGTATCATTCTATTAGTCATTAATCTAATGAAGGACATCTGCCTAAATTATAATTAAGTACATTTTTCAAGAAAACCTTAATAATTTGTGAATTTTAGATACCAATTTTGATGCAGAATAAATATTTCTGAATGTACACTTATTAAGGTTTTATTACTTCCCGAATTAAAAAAAATAGTAATTAATAATATTCTTCATGAAAACCTCTACAAGTTTAATGATACTGAATATTTTATATTAAAACTTCATTTTATTGACCCTACAGTAGGTTTTGGAAGATTTTTGTTTTTGGTATGATACATACAGTTAATATATAATTACATTTAAAGTATAAAAAAAAAAAATAGTCTGTAAAAAAATAAAAGTTTAAATTTTAAATGTACTGTAGGGCCTACAGCCTCTCTACTGAATAGGATGGCTTGTAATTAACATTCAGAGAAAATTGAATTTGATGATCTTGGAATGTTCTTTATCATGTTTATGATTTCGGTTTCTGTTTACATTAAACGTTAACATTTTCTGAACATTTCACGGTCAACAAGTTCCAGAAACAGACATAAGCCTAGTTTTTATTAGCAAACCCATGGGCTTATTATAAACTAGCAAACATTTATTTATTCAATTATACTTTTATTCATTCACTTATAAACCCTGTCTGTACATTAAAAAGTTTTAAAAAATTCCTTAACAAATAAGGTAAACATATATAAATGGATCAACAAACATTCCATGCGGATACTACGATTTAGAAAAAATTCCCAATGTATCAACGGAAATTGTCTAGGAGAAGGGGTTTTGCTCCTTAAGTCAATAGACCTTGTTTATGACTTAAGTAGTTACACAGTCAAAGAAACCACGGAGGCAGATCCACGCAATACATGGACAGGTTCCAACAAAAATTTGCAACGTACGCTAAATTAAATCGAAGGGTTCTAGAGCAATGCATGACAACACGGCAGACAGCTTGTTGTCGTAACCTTTTCAGCTACAACTAGCTGTAAACCAGCCGTAGGAAATCCTAATATGATGAGTCGGGGCTAAATTAGATAGAAACTAGGCCAATAACCTGTCGGGAATTTAACAAAGAAGCAGAAATCAAATTAAATTTTGTGGATTCACAGATTTCAACGTACTGTAATCATTGTTTCTAATGCTCGGTCCACACTATCAAACTGTTGTACAGTATGCCCATATATAGTCATGATGTGCCCATATATGGTCATGATGTGATGTCATCATGACCATATTTAGGCATGTCATATGTTTCTGTCAAATAAAATTTGATAGTCTGAAAAAGGCTTAAGAAAAAAGATATTTTAATTCTTGTTATTATTTCACTGAGTAATTATATACACAATGACGATTGTAATAATTTTTTTTGTCATTTTATATTGATTGGGTAAATTATACTTATGAACTATTATTTATTAAACGATAATTGGAATAATATTAACAAAAAAGTATAATGTCAAATATGTTTGATATCATTCCACTACTCTTATTTTCTAATTCAAGTTGCAAATCTATCAAATTTAAAACAACACATAAAGTCTTAAATTCAAAATCTACAATATCAAAATATCCTCAAAGCAACATGGTATGAATTATGAATATTGGAGGGCAGCGAGTTTGCTACAGGTAAAAATAAAAAGTCTCGCCTATGGAGCTCTGAATGATTGATGTAATATCCGTGGACAAATAAATTGGATTCTGATTCTGAAAAACAGAAGTAAATCAAGGGCGTATCCCGTAAACAATTACATTAATTGGTTCACGGTTTTCTCACAAGTAGAAATTAAATGACCACAAAACAGGAACACCAATTGATGCCGGCCGGACAAGACAACTCCCTTTTCCGTTTAACATTGAATGCACAAGACTACTTTATATAATTTTCGTTAATAAATTTATCTCCTTTGACAACTCTTAAATGATCTAAAAATTAGGTCTGTCTTGTTTTTCTTCCTTGTATTTCACAAAGGCTATTCCTCCAGCAAGGTATCCTGCATGACAAGTTCAATGCTTATAGTTAATAAGGAGTAGGTTTTAGTTTCATAGGACTACATCAACTTTTTTCAAAATGTCAAACTCAAAGAGCTCAATCACCAAGTGCATAGAGGCTTTTGTGCATGATGTATACAAATTCAACTAATTATTATTTTGAGGCTTAATTTTTGTTTGTGGAAGACATTTTTGAAGGATGGCGGAATAGACAAACTTCTTGCCATTTAGGCAAGACATTTTTAATACCTTGCTTTAGTGAATCCTCTGCCCTCCAATAATAATGATTTCAAAAGAAAAACAATTTTATTTTTAACCAATTAGCATACCCGCCTCCACATTAAAAATCGAGAAAAATACAAAAGTTTTTCATTATCTTTATTACTCTCCCCATTGAAATCTCAACAAATAAAATATGTGTATTTCTTCCTAATTATATAAATTGAAAGCATTAACCACCCTATTACTACACTATTTAAATTCACCAATAAAAGTTATTTTTATTTTCTCCTCATCTGGATGTTTTTGGCCAAACTATTTGCTAAATAAAGAAACAACATTTTATTTTTACTTTTTCAGCCCTAGTCTGACGATCTTTAAAAAAAAGTAATTTTACTAAAAAAGTCTTGCCCTAAATATTGCTGCCTTTTCCATAATCCTTTGTTAACTTTTCTATTAATTTTGTAAATTCTAAAAAATTTAGACATTATCATCATCAAAAATAATCATGGTGGCCAAAGGCCAAATTGCAGTTATTTACAATATGTTGTGTTAAAAAAATATATTCATTAAAAAGTAGACTCACTGATAAAAATGTACAAAAATCATTATTAATATTATCATCATTACTTCAAATTATTCACTAAGAATTATTGTGCAACAAATCACAGCCTATGTGTCCTAAATTATTTATTAAATTATTATTTTTAATTATTATTATTATTAATAATAATAAAATAAAATTATTACATCACTATAAAGATCACAGCTAAATTCTGCTATTGAAATATGATATAACTTAATTTGGTACCTTCCGTAGCTTATAGTAACATTTGGCTTAGTGTCAATATACATTTAAGTGTTAAAGTTCAGCATGTATTAGAACCTAGACGAATATGAAAACAATAAGGATAAGTAGGTCTGTTTATTATCGGGGCCTTGTCCTCCAAAGGTCATAAAGGTCACATCCATTTATAATCCTATGCTGTTTGTCCCCTAGCATAAGTCCACCACCCCACCCCACCATTAAACACAAAATTGGGCCAATTTTTGGGAGTGGGCTAATCCTTTTTTAAATAATGTGGCAAATATTCAGAACATTCTACTTAATTCAAAGCCAATACTGATGATTTTTTTTTTCCTGAGAATATTTGTATAAGCTATAACCTGGGCTTCTGTCATAAAATTGGGTATAAATTAGGGGATGGGATACCTGAGGTGGTCTTACACCTGAGGAACTGTACAGTAATTATTAGTATTCATTTATTTATGTACTAATATTTTAATTATTGCTATAGTCTTTTTTCTTTGTTCTTGCGATACAAGTTATATTAATAAAACAATATTTTACATCATGTTGGTTATAAAATAAAATACTTTAAATATCATTTCAAAATCAATTAAAAAGTTATCAACTTCAGAAACAATCAAAATAATGTAGTTTATAGTATTTGTTACAAAATTCAAAAAAAATATGAAGAATGGCAATATTCATTTGATCTGCTTTTGGAGAGAAAAATATTTTGAACTTTAAATTAAAAGCACAATAAATTTATTAACTATTAAGCAATAAAACTTTGCTTTTCAAGTGTATTAGTTCAACAACAGACTTTAGGCTTTTGCTACTTAATTACATAATTATTAAATGAGCATAATTACCTAGTCATTATACAAACATTTTTTTTTCTTTTTTTAATGACTGAACCTATTAATTTTGATTGATTGCGGTCAGCAGAGCCAAATAAGTCTGCAAAAATGTTTACCAATCGGTAAAAAGCCAGATTTCCATTTTTTTGTCAAGAAATAGAGTTTAATTTCAATATAAAATGACCACAGTATCGTACAATGACCCCTAGCGGTAGTAATTATGATGATCAAAAAGGCCACAAAGCCAATGGGTGGTTATAGTATGGAAGTGGGCATTAACATCAGCATTATTAGAGCAAAAAACCCTTTGATGGAAATGTAAATTATTTTAGCAGGATGTGACAATGAGATCTGATTTTGCTCAACTCTTAATTAATTAATTGGTATGGCCAGGAAAAGATTTGAAAAATACGGGAACAGAGATTTACCAAGTACTAGGTCCTCACTGGTACCGATACCAGTAGTGTTCAGTTTTATTTCTTCATCAGAATTTGAGTCGAGGAAATTAGTCAAATGTTTCTACGGTGACAGGGTGGCAACGTTGATACATTTCTACCATGCTAGTCCACTGATTTCATATGATACCAAGAATTTTCTACAAGGGGGGCTGAAAATTTATACAGTACCAAAATTTCTATCATGCTTCCAACATTTATAATATGGCTAGGGTTAAAAAATTACACCATGACCCAATATTTCTTTCTTGTCTAAAATGATAATGGTAAATGCTTGTAAAGGCCAACTTAGACAAATTGTCGCTATGCACTGAAAATTCAAATTCAAACAATATAGTTAGTTTCAATGAAGATTAATATAACAACCCCAAACCATGCAGAGGATATTATTATGTAGCAACAGAATAAAATTGAAATGCTTTTGATTAAATGTGTTTTTACTTACACTGGCATTTGATAATCTCCCAACACTACCTTGTTCAGAGTGCTTTTGACTGCATCAGTCTGAAAGAAAAACATATTACGAATAATAACACAATTATAATAATTATGATTAATGTAATCATTATTATTATTATCAATCATAAAAATTAAAGATAAAAAAAAAAAGTAATCTAGTCATTAATCAATTCTCCCAATTGAAAAATTTTTACTGGGAAATTTGTCCAGATAAATCCAGCTAAGCGTGCAAAACATCAAATGAAGTATTGCCTCTTTTAAGTGGAGTTTAATGGCTTTAAAAAACAATATACATAATCACAGCAGAGTCCTGGACTGGAATGATGTTCATTTATTGAAAGAAGGTCAGCCTAGGCTACCTAAGCCTAATAAGTTTTTTTTTAAATTCTACCAACACACAATTAATACTGGTTAGTCCGTTATTTTTATTAGTAAAATTGAAGGATAAAACAAATTCGGGACAACACTATTAAGTTTCTAGTTTGCAGGTCCTCCATTTATACCCCACCCATCTAATCTGTCTTGGGTTTTCCTAATTTACATAGACAAAAAAATTAACTATGAAAATTATGAAATTGATATTACTGTACAAAAAGATAATTAAAGGTGTTTATATTTTGTTGTTAAAACCCATGAAGTAAAAAAAATGGACTTTTCTGCTAAGTCGCTCCCCTTGGATACTGTTGCTAAGGAAAGTTTGATTGACATTTTGGAAAGATTTATTAGTGCTACTGAACAAAAAAAATAATTATTTAACTATAATTAGTTATAATTAACTTTATTGATGACTGCCAAGCAGTGTGACTCCACCAGGAAGCATTCTTTATATGGGTACTACATGTTCTTGGTACTTCTACCAAAAAAACCAAGTCCAGATGTCACGCGACATACGTTTCAATCAGCAAATGAATCATGTGTTTGTCCGTTATTCATCGTAAAAAAAACAAAAATTTGCGTGATGCTATGTTACTAAATAACCATCTGGCAATACGGTTTAACCTCCCCAGCATTTGTTAAAACTTAAATCTCTGTGTGGGGATTTTTTATAAAACTTTAAAAAAGCTATAATATTGAAAATATACAATATAAACAATTAAAAATTTGATTTTAATTAGACTATCAATACTGTAGCATACAAACTGTCTAATTATTACTTGTTTATTCAGATTTCTTTACTTTGTCCTACTATTTTTAACTTCATTACTTTGTTTTCTGTCTATGAAAAACAATTATTTATGAACTCATATTAAGGCAGTCTTCCAAAATGACACGCTGCAAATGTTTGCATGCGTTGAATATTAACTTAGCAACAGATTCGGAACAATAATTTAAATTCCATAATCAAATTAATGTTCAAATACCATGGCATACTGTGCAAACAATTTTGTACAGTGAATGGTATTTCCCAAAATGTTTCCTAATAATATTCCACTTTAAAATTTGTTAGGGATTTTCAATTTATTTATTTGAAGGATTTGAAATTAATATTTGCTATTTATTAATCTATACTAAATGGTATAGGTTGCAAATGCAATAAATAATTCATTCAAGATATGAAATTCAAAATACACAAAATAAGAAATCTCCATAGTTAATTTTATTTATACGAAGTAACACATGTACTAGGCATCCAATGCCCATTCTAAGGATGGAAAAAATTCCTGTTTGATGTTAAACTTATTACTCAAAAGGTATCAAAAATATAAATTTTAATGATTTTTTTTTTCTTATTTTGTGACTACTATAGTTGTTTTGATACAATAAAAAAAAGTGTCCCCTTAATAGGGGTGAAATTGTATTGATTTGTCCATTTTGCACACTCACAAAATGTCCCCGTCCCTTAGGGGTTGGCTGTAGTGTTTAAAGATATATTGCCCCTCGTTTCATGGAAAAGTGTTCCCTTAGTAGGGGTGTCCCCTGAACTGTAGTACATTTTTTCATGACACTGTAAAATTTAAAGAGGGCGGGGACAAGACTGGAAAAAGTGCACCACTAGCGCAAGGTATCAGAAAGGTCACAGATGCATTTTGGGGGAAGAAATTTAAAAAAAAAACTGTTGGACTATATAATAGTTCACAGAAACATTTGGTGCTAGAGGCATTTTTAGCTCCGATGAGGAGCTCTAGAAACACTCGGCTGATGGATTAATAGATCTTTTTTTAAATCTACTGCCTCTATTATACTGCCCTCATGAGGCTGAATGATTAATAGTTGATTGAAATCTTTTTAGCTCTACTGCCTCTATGATACCACCCTAATGAGGAGCTCTAGAAACACTCAGCTGATTAATAGTTGATTGATTAATAGATCGTTTTTAGCTCTACTGCTTCCATTATACTGCCCTCATTGAAGGTTTTGCGATTACGAGAACTTGTTTTCAGACAATTTTCATTGTCTGAGGCACAAACATTTTTTTCCGAGGCCTGGGTGGGGAGGTGAAACGAGCAATCAATCTAATTTGGCCTAACAATAACAATAATAATATAGTACCGATATAAATAATATTTAGTAAGAAATCAATTGTATGCTCGCAGCACACTATTTATTTGACCTTGTAGAGAGGTACTTCGCTGATAATAAACAGAATAGGATATACTTAATTAGCAATACCTACATCAAAGGGCGGTTTACCGGTCAGGAAAGTAAACAGCATGCAACCCAACGACCAGACATCGGACTCCAGTCCATGGGCGCTGCGTGTAGCAATCTCCCTGGAAGATAAAAGCAAATTTTACATGACCTACACGAAAGACTGTCGAAACAAGTATTGCTTTAATATGGATTCGTTCCAAGGAATAATTGGAGGGGCTTTAACAATAATACAGACTGACTTATCTGTGATTTTCACATTAAAGTGAATAGTGTATATTGAAAAAAACATTATTTTTTTTTTTTACCAATCATTATTACAAACAATAAACATGAATTTTTAAACCTACGATTATTGAAGATGTGTGAATACAGATCGTTTTAATACTTATAATCCTTAAAAAAAATTAAGCCAAAGAGCTGAAATGCAAGAGATCTATGCTGTTGGTCCTGCATGCACTACGGCTCATGCACACTTTCATACAGTGGTATAACTAAATGGTAAGAGTGGGGAACGAAAGAGGGCGACAAACGCCCCAAAGTCGCGCCACTAGAAATTAACCTGGTGTCCTTAAAATTGCTATACTGTCACTAGTGTTTTTTCAGAGCAATTGTTGCACTGCAATAAGTCCCTGATGTAATCGAGAAGGCTCCCCAATTCGAACGACCAATTGGCATCACCGAAAGCTGTCGGCGATACCGTATACTGATTGTAAAGAAACCAAGCTATGTTTGAAGCAAAACAGTTAAGCTCATGTAGTTAAAAATAATAATAATAAACCCCTAGATAAGCCCCTGCTTTCATGACCTGCGTGGGTTATTCTTGGCGTGTTTCTATGAGAATACACTTCCACATATTATCAGAACATTCCAATAAGTTGACATTTAGGAAGAGGAAATTAAAAAAAGCTAGTGTGTGAGGAATAAAAAAAATGAAAGAGAATACCCATTAGGCCTTGCTCGAGGTCCTATTGCATGATTGTACAGTATGCAATGTTGCAAATAAAAGCCTCGGGTATTAAATTGTGTGTTGGAAATAGATTTTCTTTTGAAAATTGCTAGGCAGCGGAATGAAATTCATTGACATTAAATTAAATCTATTTTTTCCCGCCTAAAATTAAAATTTCACACAGTGACGGATGCACTAACAGGACGTCAACGATTTTTTTTTTTTTTAAATATTAAAAATGTTATTACAGGCAGACTGCAGGTTTGCAAAACAAGGTTAAAATAGATCTCACCTGATGACTCAGGCCATAGATTGGAAAAGCGAGTTTTTTTTCAAATGTGAGAACCACATCTATGGAATGTTTTCCGCATATGATAGGACATCCTGATAATTTGACTTTATTTAAAGAGGAAATTAAAAATTTACAGAGTGAGAACCTCTGAATATTTTTTTAATAGATTTACGGCACAAAATATAAACATGATTGATTGTAGGAGCGGTTTGGCACAGAGGATGTGGTTCTGCTTCTCAACCTTGGGGTCGTAGGTTCAATCCCTTGATGTATATTTCGCTTGTGTCCTTAGGCAAGGCACGTTATCTACAGTTGCCTCTCTCCACCCAGGAGTACAAGTGGGTACCTAGTAGATTCAAAAACAATATACGCTGAATACAGCTGCAACATTATGGAATTCTTCCAAGGGAGCTGAGTATGCGTTCCATATGTGCTTGATCCAATGACCGGCGGTAATAATGTGAAGTGCTTAGAGGCCTTGTTGGCAATAAGCATTATATAAGTCTAACTATTATTGTCATTATTTGAAACGTTCTGAAAATACAGTACAAGAATTCTCTCATCAAAGACTATTTGATTCTATATATCACATGCACAGACAAGGGTAGCTGAATCTAGTTTACCTTGTAGCACAGACACAAAAACTTAAAGACTCCTGGGAGAAGCAAGTCACTGTATAGGCTAGTCCACACCTCGAGCATGGTATAAATCCACCAACAGTATATGGTACATTACATTACATAAATAGCAAGTTTTTTTTATAGTAAGTTAATTCTGCAATACCATTATAATAACTATCAAAATATTAAACTACTTATAATTATTTATTCATTACAGGATTCTATTTTTGGTATTGAGCCTATAGTAAGATGAGTGGTACCTTGATCGACATCCAATATTTTCAGTTTAAAATTCAAGGGAAGTAAGAACTCGCTGTACCATGCATTTTATGTTGTGTAAAGAGATGGAAGACTCACTGACAGCGGGACTGGCACGGTGGAGTTGATTAGCAATCATAAGCTAATTTTAGATAAATCTTTTAAGGATATTGCTTGAGGACGAATGTCTTCTTCCTATACTGCTAATGGTTCGCATCCATAATTTGTCTGTCTTTTTGACAGGGAAATGTTTGGTCTTTGATCCATTAAAACCATTACAAGAAAAAAAAATCAAAATCAAATCAACTTTATTGAAGAACAGCAGACTTCAAGGTGCCAAAACATCAAACAATTATTTTTAGAAATATGGTTTATTTAATTTTAAAAAAAAGAAAAATGATCTAGAATTACTTAAAACACGATAAGAAATCAACAATTCATAACAATTAATAATACTGCGAGATGAAACTGTTAACTGTTGCAACAATGCTACTGCTTGCGACTGGCTGGCTGTGAGAATGGGTCAATCCCAGCATTTATTGTTGTATCGACCAGGCAATGTTTGTCAGTAAGAGTTCAAAGGTCATTAAAAATCTTAGAGATATATAAGTATAAGTAACATGGTACGACATAGAACGTAATGACGTCACTAAAAAGTCATCTGCGCATGCGAGAACGTTAAGTTCTCCTCATCACATGCACTTTGACCAACTCTACGTTGTGCAGATTATGTGGGAAAGTCACACACGAATGAACCTGTTTTAGTGTCACGTCGCCGTGCAAATCGAAAGCACCCTATTTTGCATATGATAGCCTACAGCAAGTTACGGTTGTGCACAATATATTATAGATAAAAAAAGTCATGAGCTATACCTAGTACCTAGCCATGTCACAGCTACTGTAGGTACAGTCATGGGCTGTACCTAGACCCTGGGCCTGGAAAATAACATAAAAGCTTTGTTGAGAAAGTCAAAAAATGAAAAGTTACAGGATAAAAAAATTTGTAGGGGGTCCTATTAAGAATGCTAAATACAAACCGTAAAAACCAAAAAAAAAAATGTATTTTTATCAAAATTTTCAAGGTGGTTAGTGTGGTCACGAGGCAATGCATAAAAACATCTCGCTTACAGTATAACTGACTCAGCAGAATATAACCCCTTCTTCGACTGCGATGCCACCAAAATTATTTAATGTATCATCAGGCCATCCAACTCTCCGTTAGCAAAAGCAAAAGTAACAACATTAAGGTTGTCTCATTCATTAGTCACGGAGAATAATTCATTTGGAATAATTACTTGACATTTAATCAGGTCACATACAATGAGTTAAAGCTTTCATCTGACAATCTTGTATCAGTTTGTGGTGAAGCAAGATTACTTGGGGATAAAGCATGAAAATCGCAATTTATGAAACTGTGATTGGCACTATTAACCAATGAAATACCATCAAGCAATCATATTATTGTGATATTTTATTAGTTATGTATATAGAATTAAAATGCCTGACCTAATTGATTTTATTATTTTTCTAGTTTTGTGCTGTATTATAGAATTAAAATGTTTTACCTATTAAATAATTTTATTAATTTTTACAATCTTATAATGTTTTGCTGTGTTTGTACTTCTGTCTATTTTTAATGTTTTAAATATATTCTCATTGTAATTCTGCGTTAAGTTGAAATCAAATAAAATTGAAAAATTGAATTGAATGTTAAGCCACTAATGTTGGGTGATACTGTTAGCCAGATCCAGGGTGGGGGTTGGGAGAATGACAGGGTCCCTCCACCAAAAAAAAAAAAATTAATTAATTAAAAAAAGAAGAGAAAAGGAAGAAAGAGGGGAACATAGTGCAATTGTAATTATAGAAGAGTGTAAAATACAAAAACTTGACCCCCAAAAGCATCTGAGTCAACCAGCATTGAAAATACTTCCGCAAAACTTAAATTGGAAATTGTCAAGCTATAGTTAAAAAAAAAAAAAAAAAAAGGAAAATTAATACAGTTTAACAATTTACTATTTAATTTAATAAATTTATTCAATAGAGTTTTGCATCCTTCCCAACAGTTGATACATATTAGTGTATAATCTATAATAATATCAAAACAATGATGGAATGATTTGTTAAGCACATTCATTTACAAATTAAAATCTATTTTTTCTTGTGGATGATCAGGATTTGACCTTGATTTGACCCTGAATCTTGACAAGGTATTTGTGACTTCCTGTGAAACATCCTATGACATTTACATTAATGATAAATTAAATGTCATATTACTTTTGTTATTCACAAGGTCTTATGAGTAAAAAATAATTTTTCTAAAAATACTAAAATCTTTGATATATATTCCTTATTTGAGTAATGGGTCATTAAGTTTGCCGGGCGGAAGAAAAATCTGTGTAGGGGCCATGCGAAGCACTATGGAAAGGGAAGCATTAATCGTTGTTTTAGATTTTTGTTTATAATAATGCAGATGGAAGGACACAGATAGAATTCGAAAAATTAAAAATTAGCTTGTTTTTGGAGTATAGGACTATGATGCTCCATTCTTTTCTCCTTTCTGGCGAGTAGAATGGCCGAGCAAACAATGCAGGGTCACCGCAAACTACTAACAGCCATAATATCGGCGCTGGTTCAAACAGATTGCTAGCCTACCGAACAAGTCTTCTCAAGACGGATTATAAGGCCCAATTGGTTCTTGTGTACTATAAAGAACCGTGTAAATCTTTTAAGGCGAGTAGGGAACCCTGATGTACTGGTCCATATAGCTTATGTAGTGGATAGATGAGAGTAGCTGGTAGTTTGTTGGGTAGCTCAGATACAAAGAGATCCTTATGGGGGGAGAAGAAAAATAGTCTATGAGGTAGTTTACACTTTGAATGCTCTGATTTTCATGAAATAGCGATAATAAAAAGTACTGCAATGTATGTATTTCTCTTCTTTTCTTCTCTTTTGTCACTCTCTCTCTCTCTACTGTAATAACTTAAATAGGTAAAGTATGGTATG